AGGCTCGGAGAGGGAGCAACTGAGGGGCAGAGGAAAACTGCGTGCAGGGTTAACCCTCATGACACGCATGCTGAAGCAGGTGTCGCCTCGGCCCTTCTTACACGAGGAATGTTGGCTGTGTCCGTCTTGGTCTAGCACAGGCTCTGCTGCCTCAGGGTCACGCCGGATCTTCTGCTGTCCTTTCTGGGTTCCAGTCTGAGGTCAGAGTGACACACTGAGTTCGAAGCAAGCTCCACCCTCCCTCATAACTGCGGCAACCATCACCCACTCCTCACATGCAGTGACTGGGGCAGGGCCACTGTGCTGGTGTGCGACAAGCACGCATGTCAGTGGCAGCCACAGGCTGCCTCCCGGCTGCAGGGGCCGGGGCTCTGGCGCAAGCTCCTATCTTTTTTTTTTAATAATAATTGTTTTTATTTTGTCAATCTTTACATAGTTAATTTGGGCAAAAAGGGTCAAGGGCTACAGGAAAGTGGGTAAGACTATTATTTCCATATTGTTTCCTTCATATATCTGAGGTAGAGGGGGATATTGAGGGAGAAGCCCCACCCGGTTTCCCACCCACCCCAAGTCCTGCATGTGGGGCATGCTCCGAGATACTCGTTGAAGTGGTTTCAATAGGTCACCAGTTTTGAAATTGCTGCCAGTCTTGCCTCTCCAAACACGATGAGATTGTTGAAAAATCCATTAATTGACATTGTCCATCATAGCGTCTCTATTTGCCCGGTTTTGTTGCCAACCTATAGCTGAGGTGGTTGATTAACTTGTTCCATCTTCTGTCCCTTCATGGTTTGGGTTCTGAGTCTGGCATTTCAATTGGGAAGATCGCCAAAGGAACTTCGTCTGAGGTGTTCCCAGGCCAGATACTTGTATGCACCAGCAAGCACAGGGCCCAGCACAGTCCATCACCCAGTCTGCTGGTAGTTGCAATTGCTGGGTTGGTTCTGTTTTCAGCCCTGCCTTCTACTGGAACCAATGGGTGTTGCAGTCCAGCCTGGTTCTGCACAGCACAAACTCGGTCTTCACCGAAACCAGTGGGAGCTGCATCCTGATGAGAGCAGCCCACAATAACCCCTACCAGGCCCACCCCCTACCCTGGTTTGCCAATATGTGTGGCAGACCAGTCCAATCTGACCCACATCCCCCCTGGCTCTCGTACATGGCAAATGGCATTGAAGCTTGGATCCATCTACCCAGCTCAACAGTCAAGCCTTCACGGGTGTGGTTGAGTGCCTCTCTGTCTAGCCACCCCAGCCCCCGCCCTAGTTCTCGTGCCCTCCCGTGGGAGTGGTAACCCAAGAGGGGGGAACCTACTATTTCCCTCCCAGGTCTCTCACTCCCGGATTTTGCACTTTCCAGGTGGTTCTGCAGTTTAACTTGACAGGATTAGCCCCCAGCGCCAGTTTCTGTCAGCTGATGCTACGGCTATGCACAAACAGCCCTCTCCCATTCTAATTGTAGGTTGCACCCATAGGAACAGCCCACCCATCCTGGCCTTTCCCTGATCTAGTCCACATGAGGCGCACAGGTGTTATAGCCCTGCTTAGTCTGGTCTGCCCCCATCCCAGCTCATGCTCTCCAGTGGGAGTAGCTGTCCAGCAGGGGAACCACCCCTTATTCCCCCGCTGGCTCTGTCCCTTCCCTTCCTGTTTCTCACGTGTGCTGGATGGGCACTGCAGTCACATCTGGCACAGTCAACCTTATCCTGGCAGTCTGTAGTGTGGACTGGTTTTTATCGCAACCAAACCTGGCTCGACCCTTACTCTGTTCTGGTGCTCGGATTTGCCAGTGATGACATTAACTGATCAGCCTGGTCGGCCCCCAATCCATGCAAGCTCCTATCTTGAGGAGACCCTGGGCTCTGGTTCCCACTTGCTGTGTACCCTCTTTAGGCCTAGCTGTCTGCTGAACAACCCGCGAGGACTGGGGGTGTGAGCATCCTGAAAGCGGCGCATGAAAGAAGCAAAGCAGACGTGGGCCTGTGCTGGGCCAGCAGAGACAGGATCCCAGCTGCCACCTGCCTGCTCTGCCCAGCGAGGCTGTGAGCTAGGTGTGGGCAGGAGGGCTCAGGGGACACTGCCTGGAGTCAGCCTGTCCCTGCCCGTGGATGTGCCAGTGAGGAGGAGTGGCATGAGGGGCTGCTGAGCCATCCTCAGAGCCAGCTGGCCCTGGGTGCCCGAGATGGCATCCTATGAGTGAGGGGGGTGACCCCTGCTGCCTGTGGGAGGGGTGTTCAGGGACTCACTGGGGTCCTCAGCTGACCTCGGGCTGTCCCTGTGGGCTCAGCTGCCATAGGTGAGGTTTATTGGCTGTTCTCTCAGGGTGGGATTGAGCTCCTTCCTGTGCTAGGGTGCTGGGGGACCCCTTCAGCCCCCAGGGTCCCTCCCCCACAGTGTCTTGTTCCAGCCCTAATCCTGTTGAGGGGCCAGGTGCTGGGCTGAGCGGGCAGCTCTGTGGTGGGCAATGACAAGGGGCAGCACCTTCACTGAGCCGCCCACACCATTACAGGGCAGGAAAACAGGACGCGGAGGGCGGAAGAGGCACAGGGGACAGGTGCCTGGTCCGGTCCTGCTGCAGCCTCCTAGCTGCTGGGCCCAGTCTGGGACTGCCAGACCACAGCAACCTCGCGGGCCCACGCCCGCCACTTGCTCATGGCTGAGGGTCTGAACAGCCTCCGGGAGCCACAGGCTCCATTCCATCCCAAGACCTGGCGTGCCCTGGCGTGGAGCTGAGGGCTTTGTGCAAGGCTTGGCTCCACTTTAATCCTTCAGGGTCAGCTTGGTGTTCGAGCGTGGGAGACTCACAAAGGCTCATTAGCCAACACGGCTGCCTGGCGTGGGTTCTGGCGTGGCCAGCTAGTGTCGGCTCTGCCAGGCTGGGCAGCCCACACAGGATGGACGCGGCTGCAAGGAGGGGTGGCACAGCACCCATCTGGGCGCTGTTCCCTTCCAAGAAGTGAGGCTGGAAGGGTGTTTACTGCAGGGCACTGAGGCAAAATCCCTTGCCACCAGCCACACCTGAGCAGGCCGAGGGAGTCTGCAGTGTCACCCACTACCACACGGCAGATGTCCTGCGGATTTGGGCTTCTGGTAGAGCTGTGTAGGTGAGGGCCATGCACAACTGGCTGGTCACTGCTGGAGTGGTGTTGGGAGCTAACAGGGAGGTCCTTTCCCAAGACTGCCATACTGGCCGCCTCCCCACTGCCCTCGTGCTCCCTGCTGGAGTTCTGGTGAAGGAGGGAGGCTGGTGCTGTGCCCAGGGACACGGGGAGGGGCGTGCCCCACAGCACCAGGAGCCAGGGCGCTGTCCGCAGTGCTGAAGCACCCAGCTGCTTGGGGCCCTGGCACTGGCCTGGCCTCTCCCAGGACAGAATGGGGAGGAGGAGGCAGCAAAGCTCACACACAAAAAGAGGGGCGAGCAGAGGCTGCTGGGAAAGTCAGGTTCAAGTGGTCACTGAAGCTCCAGACCTGCTGCTCCCCAAGGGAGGTGAGGGCGGCCTCAGCCCCTCACCCCACCCCAGGCCACACTGAACAGGCCCAGGGCCCTGCACCCGTCTGCCCCCGGTCTACGCCTCGGGAACTTGCTGGACCTGCCTGTCCTCTTCTGTGAATGGATAGTAAGGACGCGACTTGGGTGGGGCTCAGGGCTCTTGGGGGCTGCACCTGCTTGTACGGTCCTTGCTGTAGCATCCTAGCAAACTCTTATGGAAATCCTCCACTAGTGCCCGGCCTGTGTGTTAGCTCCTGCACCTCTCATCTCAGGAAGTGGGAGCTGGAGGAACTCAGAGGGAGTTAGGGGAGTCAGCGGGAGTTGGAGGGAGTCAGCGGGAGTTGGAGGGATCCCAGGCTCCCACTTGCGCCGTTGGGTGCTGAGCCCTTGCTGGCCACAGGCTCATGGAGCAGGGAGCTGCCCTGTCCCTCTGCAGCCCACTCTTTCTCTCCATATCCCGCCCACCCACTGACTCAGGAAGGTGGGAGCATCCTAGGACTCCATGCTGATGGCAGCCATGACCTACCCTGGACCATCGCAGCAGCTGCTCCTTGGCGGTGACCGAGGGCAGAGTAAGGCTTAGGGACAAAGTGACGTCCAGGCTGGCTGCCCCCATTTAGGGTCCCCAGTGCCTTGTGAGGCTGGCTGCCTGTTCTGCGGCCTATCCAAGCAGTGAGCATCAGGCTGTTCCCAGGCTTGGCTGCCCATGCCCTATGGCATCGCCATTCACAGCTGGGCCAGAGATGGTTGGTTGCAAGGAGCCCAGGCATCTGCTGCAGTGCCAGCCCTGCTGGACCCGAGAGAGCCATTGTCCACCAGGTGGTTGGAAGGGGTTGCTGTGAGGCAGGGTGCCAGGCCAGCGGGGCCAGGCCTTTCTGCTGCCCTGAGCACCTGTGTCGCTGTCCCATGATACTGCATCCATACCCAGCAGGCCACCAGTTAGGAAATCAACGACTGCCCCTCCAGCTAGGGGAGATGGAGGAGGGTACACACAGTGGACCATCAGGGGTGTGTGACTGGCCATGACCAGGGGCTGCCCTGCCCATCTGCCAGTGTGCCGCCTGCCCTGTGTCTGTGGGGTGAGGTCACACCCCTTCTGGCTGCCCTCACACACTTCTTTTCCCTCTCCCCCACCCCGCCCCAGGAGACTGACAATCCCCTCCCCCACCCTGGGTCCCTGTGCTGGGACTCGCTGCCAGCCAGTGCCCTCCAAGACCTACCCGTCTTGCAAGCTGAAACCATCACCTCCCACACAGCTTCCCTTGTGCCTCTAGGGGTGGGGCGGCCCTGGGGCTCCCAGTCTCTGCCTTCAGGCTCTCTGCTGTCCTTGCACAGGGCCACAGGCGTCACAACAGCAGTGTGTGGGGTGTGTGGGGACCTCATGCTGGGCTGCACGCCAGGGGTGCCCCCAGTGCTGTCAGCCCGGAGCTCCTGGCGGCGTGGGCACAATGGGGCAGTGTGGGCGCACTGGGGAACCAGCCCTGACCCGACGCCTGTCCTCCACCCTGCAGGTCAACACCTTCATCTCCTTTGTGTCCCCCATGGTGGTCATCTCCGTCCTGAACACCGTCATCGCCAACAAGCTGACGGTCATGGTGCGGCAGGCGGCCGAGCCAGGCCCCGTGTGCACGGTGGGGGAGCGGCTCGGCGTCCTCGGAGCGTCCATCGAGCCTGGCCGGGTGCAGGCCCTGCGGCACGGCGTCCGTGTGCTCCGTACGTATCTGCAGCAGGGGGCGGGGGGCGGGCAGTGGATGGGCGACTCTGCTTGTCTGTCCATTCCCTCACTCGTTTGAGACCTGGACGGAGTGTTGGCTCTGAGCAGCAGAGGTGGGCCTGGCTTGTGGGGACAGGGGGGACAGTGCCCTGTGTGCCCGGGCAGAGGGTGCTTTTGGTCACGGGCTTGGCGGGAGGTAGGAAGGGTGGGGGTCCCCGGGAGTTCCTCAGTGTTCATCTGCCGCCGCCCCTTCTGATCAGGGCTGGCTCCCCTCTGTGGCTGGGGCTCGCAGGGCCCCACTCTCCCTGCCTGGCCATGTGGAGCCACCTGGGCAGGCTTCCTGGACAGCCCAGAGATGGAGCAGAGCCACCAGGACCTCGCCTCCAGCACCACCAACCAGGGATGAAGGCGCGCACCTGGACATCCAGGTCCTTTAGCCACTGTACCCTGGCGGCTCCTTCCTGCCAGAGACACTGATGACTGCTCCAGCTAAGAGGGCTCCCCACTTCCCATGGCCTCGGCTGCCCAAGCCTCCCTCCCTCCAGCTGGACCAGGAGGCTCCCAGCCTCCACCTTGGGACATGCATGGGCACGGTGACCATGACTTTGTGAAACAGAACTATGATCCGCCCATGCCAGACATGCCTCACAAAGTTGGTCCCGTGTCTCCTGGCCCGGCCTCTCCTGGCCCGGCCTCTCCTGGCCCGGCCTCTCCTGGCCTGGCCTCTCCTGGCCCGGCCTCTCCTGGCCCGGCCTCTCCTGGCCTGGCCTCTCTTGGCCTGGCCCCTGTGCGTAGGTCAGCAGTCCCGTCTGAGGCCAGCAGTCCCGTCTGAGGCCAGCAGTCCCGTCTGAGGTCAGCAGTCCCGTCTGAGGGTATCTTGGCTGCAGGCGTTTAGTGAGCGCGCAGCTTCACACCATCCAGCCAGGGCACAGCGTCCACTCCCCAAGCCTCCCGGTTCTGGGAGCCAAGCTGCAGGTAGCTGGCCACAGCAGGTCTGCTGCAGGCTCTCTCTCCGCCGTCTGTCTGGGGTCTGGGTGGGCAGGCCCAGCCCCGCTCCATGGCCAGAGCCCTGAGCCCACACCCCTGCCCCAGGCGCCGTGGTCATCGCCTTTGTGGTCTGCTGGCTGCCCTACCATGTGCGACGCCTCATGTTCTGTTATATCTCGGACGAGCAGTGGACACCGTGAGTCCGGGGACCGGGCAGGGCTCCCCAGATTGTGGGTGCAGGGTGGGGGAGGGCAGGGCACACCCGGAGGGCGCTCTTGACTCCCTCACAGCAGCCCTCTGGTCACAGGAGGGTCCCCGCAAGCGCCCACCGAGGGTGCTGGGAACAGGTTGAGATTAGGCTGTGTGAAGGGGGCACGAGGCAGTCAGGAGGGGCCAGGATGGCTTCCCAAGGCCCCCACCCCAGCCCTGACACACTTCAGAACCGTGAGCTGTGTCAGCCCCCGTGGATTCTGCCATCCGGGGGACTGGCGACACAGGACCGGTTCTCACGGAGACTGGCCAGGAGTGCAGTGCCCGCCCCCTGCTTGCAACAAGCCAGAGGGACGCTCTGGGAGTCCTGACCCAGCGACAGCGTGTGTGCCAGCTGCTCCGGTGCTCAGTGTGTGCTGTGGGAGTCCCAGGCAGAGGGCGGCATGGACCCGCAGCCCGCCCGGCTGCCCAGGATCCTCACAACCCAGAGCCGGGGTGGGCGGCCTCCCAGACGCCCTGCCTGATGCTGCTGCCCACACAGGTTCCTCTACGACTTCTACCACTACTTCTATATGCTGACCAACACGCTCTTCTACGTCAGCTCGACCATCAACCCCGTGCTCTACAACCTGGTGTCTGCCAACTTCCGCCACATCTTCCTGTCCACACTGGCCTGCCCGTGTCCGCTGGGGCGGCGCAGGCGGCGGGTGCCAGCCCTCTCCAGGAAGGCCAACAGTGTGTCCAGCAGCCACACCTTCTCCAGCCACGCCACCCGCGAGACGCTGTACTAGGGCCTTGCAAGGTGGGGGGAGCCTGGGCGCGTGGGTCAGCCAGGGGCCAGCCGCCGGCTGGGGTGGCCAGGAGCCAGGGCCTGTGCCTTCTCAGCTTCGTCCCTCCCCGCATCTTGCTCGGCGCCTTGTGGAGCGCCAGGATGGCCCTGCCCCAGACTCCCAGGCCCTGACGCCCCAGCCAGCCGGGAGCAGCTGCTCTGTCCCCAGCTAATGGATGTGGTGGCCAGCCATCGTCACAGGCGCTGAGAGCAGAGGGAGCCGGACGGGGCTGCTGGGCCAGGGACGCTGGCCCTGCGCCGGCCTCCAGCTCAGGCTGGAGTCACCTCACCCCTGCAGCCACGGCCTCTGCCGTCCCCTCCCCTGGGCAGCTCCAGGTGAATCCCCTCTCTCCACCCACACCCCAGTGCCCCAAGAGACCCAGGGGCCTGCACTCGGCTGCCCTCGCCCGTGTGGCCTTGTCCAGGACAGGGTGGATGTGTGGGTACCTGTGCCAAACAGTAGAGAGACCACAAGAGCTGGGGACACAGCATGGCACACAGGAGGCCCGTCCTGGTCCCAGCCTGGGTAAGGCTCTTGCTGATTCGGCTTCCCCACCCGTGGGCGCTGCGTGTGGCCCCTCAGGCCTGTGCTGGGGGCCGGCGCACCCCCACCGTGCCCTGCAGTCCCAGCAGGAGCGCGCAGGAGGGGTGACAGATGCCGTCCGCTTCAGAGCGAGGTCCCGGCCTCGATGGGCCAGAGCATCCCAGGCGTGGGGGGTCCCCAGCCTTGAGTCCCCCCTCGAAGAAACAGTCCCATGTCCCAGCCCCTCGGCCACATGTGGGCCCTGGAGGATGCAGCTTGGGAGCAGCTTACCCCCAACCCTGCAGCCCCGGGCAGCACCTCTTCCACGCCTCTCCCACCTCTGCCACTCTTCCACGGCACTGCAGTCTCTCTTCCTGTTGGCACGTGCCTACCACCCCTCCCTCGGTGCCACCCGGTCAGCGTCCTTAGCCACCGGGCAGGTTATGCGTGACTAGAGGCCGCTGTGGCCAAGGTGACTCCTGGGACGTCCCACCCCATCCCATAGCCGAGGCCTTCCCAAGCACCTGCCAACCGGAGGCCTCTGACCACAGCAGCCCCTCCCCCACACCACGGACCACCCTCCCATCTTCCCAATAAAGGAAATTGGACACGCGCTGACTGCCAGGGACCTGCGCGTGTCCACCACGTCTCTGTTTGGGAGCACGTGCTCGCTGGCCTCCCTCCGAGGCTGGGAGCGCTGGGGCTGGTGGGCTCGTGCCGGGGCCCCGCCTCCTCAGCCAGCCCAGGTGTTGCAGTCAAGGGCCCCTGGACCTGGTGTGACCTTGGCAATGGAGGTTGCTAGCCCTACTCCAGGCTCCTGTCAGACTCCAGCGCCACACCAGCTCCCCCAGGGTGGGCGGCTAGAGCAGGGAGGGTCAGAGGCTGGGTCTGTGCTGAGGCAGTCCTAACCGAGGGGGCCTTAATCGACCACCCCACCCTGGAGCTTGTGCCCCCAGTGCAGTAGGGTACCCTGAGCCTTCCTCGCCCACCTTCCTCAGTCACCCTCCACTGCTTTGTCCCGCAAGACCCTCTCCCCCGACCTGGCTTTCTTGGAGCTGGCATGGCGGCCCTCTGCCAGGCTCCAGCCCCTACAGGCAAGTCTGGTGGCTGCCATCACCCCAAGGGTTGGGGCCTTGCAGACACACACGCACACGCATGTCATGGGGTGGAGTTTCAGGCCCGTCCTGGAGGCTGGCAGCCCAGACATGGCCACAGTCTGATGCTGTTCCCACCCCGGGCGACCCTCCCTGCCAGGGGCCCTCTGTCCCGACCCTCGCTGCAGCCCTTGTTGCTAGACAAGGAGGGAATTCCCTGCAGTTCAGCTTTCTCTAGGGACAGAGAAGCACGCATGGCTGCACCGGGAAAGCTCCTGTCCCGCCTTCCTGCCTCCCCGCCATTCCCAGGGAGCACCATGGAAACCGAGTCTCGGCCAAGTGCTTGAAACGGAGCTGCTGGATGGAGCATGGCTGTGGAGGCAGGGCAGGCAGGACAGCGGGCGGGAGCGGGGCACAATGCCAGGGAGCGAGGGCGCCTGCTCACGTGCATACAGCCACACTGGCAAGGGAAGCTGGCCCAGAAGCTCCCAGGTTTAGTCAGCCTCCTGCAGAGCTCAGAGACCAGGGGCACCTCCTGCAGTACCTGACCTTGTCCTGGCACCTCCCTGAGAATTGCACGATGCCAGATGCTGGGTGTGGTCCTCTGGGGCACAGGACCAGTGTGGTCCACAGGGCATGGGGGCAGGTTCTGAACATTGGCACACACCTGTGCTCCTGGCAGGAGTGGGCTGGCGCCCAGAGGTCAGCTTTAGCAGAACAGCCCCCTGCACGTGCCCCTGGGGCTCTGGCATGGTCAGGGGCTGGTTCTCCCCATTCCTCCCCTAGGGCCCCTCCCCTCCTTGGGGCAACAGCTAGAAGAGAAGCAGGGGACGCTGACCTCTGGGCCCCGAGGAGGAGGGGGGTCCATGAGGATCTGGTGGTGGGAAGGTGGGCACCTGAGGTGTGTGGAACAGAAGGCAGCTTTGACACCCGGGGGCAGCCCTCCAGGGCCCACGGCAGGCGGACGGGGAGAGAAGGGCAGGTGAGGGGTGGGCGTCTGGCAGCCCCGGGCCACCATATCCCACATCCAGGGCTGGGGCTGAGTCTGCTTCCTGCAGGTGCTTGCCCCGCGAGGCTCCAGAGTGTGGTCTCTGTACCACCAGGGCACCCAGCCCGTGGCCTGGCCTAGCCCTGCCCAGCTCTGGTTGGGTCTCTACTCCTCAACGAAGAGTAGCTGGCTGAGCTGGGGCAGCTGGAGTGGGGTGATGTCCAGGTGAGGTGGTACCTGCTCTCCAGGACTACGCAGAGAAGTGCTTGACCCCAGCGTCCAGCCGGCTGGGATGGGACGCGCCTGGAAGGAAAGGACAACGCGAGGGCCTCGGGCAGCTGGGCGCACCTAGGGCAGCCCCCGGGCCACACCGCAGTCCCTGCCACCCTGGATAGACACCAGGGCTAACCCAGCCCGAGCCTCTCCCGGAGGACAGCGCCCCAGGGGGCCACCGGAGGGTGGGGACAAACCAGGCGTCGTGGGAGGGTTTCCACTTGCCTGCACCAAGCAAGCCCTAAGCTGGGAAGAGCTGAACCCTCACCCGACTCAAATAACCCGTCACCAAGGTCTCTTACCCAGGACCTGTGAACCCCTCACCCGGCACCCCTGACCCCTCACCCAGCACCCCTGACCCCTCACCCGGCACCCCTGACCCCTCACCTGGAACCCCTGACCCCTCACCCGGCACCCCTGACCCCTCACCTGGAACCCCTGACCCCTCACCCGGCACCCTTGACCCCTCACCCGGCACTCCTGACCCTCACCCGGCACCCCTGACCCCTCACCCGGCACTCCAGACCCCTCACCCGGCACCCCTGACCCCTCACCTGGAACCCCTGACCCCTCACCCGGCACTCCAGACCCCTCACCCGGCACTCCAGACCCCTCACCCGGCACTCCTGACCCTCACCCGGCACCCCTGACCCCTCACCCGGCACTCCAGACCCCTCACCCGGCACCCCTGACCCCTCACCTGGAACCCCTGACCCCTCACCTGGAACCTCTGACCCCTCACCTGGAACCCCTGACCCCTCACCTGGAACCCCTGACCCCTCACCCGGCACCCCTGACCCCTCACCTGGAACCCCTGACCCCTCACCTGGAACCTCTGACCCCTCACCTGGAACCTCTGACCCCTCACCCGGCACCCCTGACCCCTCACCTGGAACCCCTGACCTTCACACGCCCCGGCCTGAAGACAGATGGGCCCCCAGCCTCAGGCAGACCTGCTGGCTCTGCCAGGTGCCCTTGACAGCCAGGGCGGACCATGCCCCACCAGGGGGCAGAGCTGTCCTTGCACCCACTGGCTGGGCAGACATGTCCTCCCCGTCCTGCCCTTCTCTCTCTCACTCCAGCGTGAGGGTGTCCACAGAGGCCTTGGCCCTCCCTTGGCTTATTCAGGGCCCTCCAGGCCGCAGGCCATCAGGAACTAAGCGGCAAGTCACGTAGAACCCAGCAACCGTGGGGCGGCCCACAGCACAGCCGCCCCTCCCCGGGGTCTGCAGCTGCGGGACCCTAGCCCCACTCCACAGGAACCCACGTGAAGGGTGGGGCCCCCCTCAGGGTCCCCCTGGGTTCCCCCAGACTGGGCCCTGCTGCACCACCCTCAGTCTTGCCCCACACTTGTGCCACAGCTGCCTGGGCGGGAGGCACACAGCGTGTGTAGTGTGTGGTGTGAGGCCCAGGTGGGGCATGTTGGGTACATGTGGCGTGTTGCATGCGTGACGTGTGCTTGGCCACAGGGTCGAGGTGAGAAACACTGGCATCCTGAGCACCTCTGCTTGACAGAGGACACAGCCATGCTGGCTGCCAGAGCCCTGAGAACTCACCGCGCAAGGGCACTGCAGGGCCGGGGATGCTGCCCCTCCCAGCGCCTGCAGCGGTGCCCTGCTGGCCTCTGAGTCGGCTGTCCCACGCCTGCCCGCAGCCTGCCCTGGGTGCCAGCTCTGTGGGTGGAAAACTTTCCCGTTCCATGTGAAGCGCTCACTTGCATTCGGAAGTGAAGCTTGTAAAGTGACAGCCCTCAGGAGCCCCCTCCGACAGATGGCCAGGTGGCACCAGCTTCCCGCTCCGCTGCCAGCCATCCACACTGCCAGCCACCCACCCCCTGCCAGCCATCCACACACTGTCATTCAGACGCTGCCTGCCACTCCCCCTTCTCAGGTGGGCATGACCCTGTCAGGGACAGAGGTAAAGTCACCCTGTCCCTGCCCCGTGTGTCACAGAGCCTGGGGCACCCACCCTGAAGGACCTCCCCGCATGGACACAGGGTGACAGCAGCCTCCACGTGGCAGGTGGACCTGACCCGTCCAGACCCTCAACCCACTCTACCCTTCTCATGATCTCCCCACTTGGAACCCCAGGATATAGGTTCTCCCTACTCCTGCCCCCCAGCTCCGCTTAGCTGTGAAAGACAGGCCCCAGCATTCCCAGGGTGCATCTCTGCCCCGCAGCTGCCTCACAACAATCCACTTGCCACATCCCCACAACCCTGCCACGTGCCCCTGGAGTCCAGCAGCCCCGCCCCCACCCCTAGCATCACCCCAACAGGCAGGCCTGACGTGGGGAGGGGTCTGGGAGGAAAGCCTTGGGGGCGGGTGACAGGGGTCCTCGTGTGACCACTCTGCCTTGAGCCCCCAGCCCCAGGCGCACAGTGGCGTGAGAGGGGTCGGAGGGCTGTAGGCACCACAGAGTCGCCCAGTCCTAGCAAGCAACGCCCCCAGGAGGCCCCACGTGCAGGGAACCCCGGAAGGCGTTCCCAGATCCGGACGTCCATAGCTGCTTTAGCCATCTACCCCACTGTGCTGGTCCACACACTCGCCAGCGGCTCTTCCACCTGCTGGTTCGTTTTCCAAATGCCTGTAACAGCCCTGGCTTCACAACCCCACCCCCACCTGGCCATTGCTGGGCGGCAGCGCCTGGGACCCCCTACTATGAGACCCACCCCCAGGAGACAGGACACCACCTGCCCCTGTCCCCTGAAGGTCCCACACCCATTCTCCCAATGCTGCTTTCTGAACCCCTCCTGCAAGGTGCCCAGCTACACCTGAGCCTGTGTTCAATGGGTTGGCCTGTGTCAGGTCCCTGTCGGGGCTGGCCAAGTTCAATTCTGTGGCTCTGGGCAGAGTGTAAGCCGCCCCCCCCGCACATGGCCCCAGAGTCCTGCTGCCAGCACAGGTGACCCCCAGAAGGCCTTGGCTGGGCTCCCTTCAGACTGGCCCGACCCTTCACTGCCCCCCAGCACCAGCCAAGGCTTCCATGCCTAGGAGACGCCCCGTGCCAGCCGAGTGCAGCTGCAGGCCTGGCTCCAGGCCTCTGTGGGCAGCTTAGGGGTGCCCCATGGCCAGCTTCCGGTGCCGGTGCCCCTCAAGCTGCTGGGGGCTGTCCCCCAGCAGGAAGCAGGGGGTCTGGGCAGAACAGGAGGAGGCTTGGATGGGGATGTTGGGGCGGAACCCCCACACCCAGTTGGTGCTTCCTCATCCAAGAGACCTCAGCCATGGGAGGTGCTACTGAGGCCCAGAGAGTCAGACTGGCCGGGCCAGGGGCTCGCACAGCAGGACGGAGCTCTCCAAGGTGGGGTGGGACTCTGTTCTGTCCAGTGCCTGCCAGGGGAGGACAGTGTGACCCAGGCGTGCCTGAACACAGCATGTGCATGGCCCAGGCCTGACCTTGACTCCTGCTGTGTCTGTGGTCTCTCCTGAGCTTGGTGGTCCTCCACAGTCCCCACCTGGCCCCTGTTTCTCTGCTCCTGGAGGTCCTGCCCCCTGCCTCAGCTGTGGTTGTTCCCAATGTCAGAGCTCAGCCTGGGGGTGACTTGGGCCTGTGCCCTGGGGTCACGCTGCCCAGGGCTCCCAGCAGCCCTCGGTTCCAGGGAGGGTCAGGGCCCTCTGCCTCCTCGAGTTCTCTGAACCCCTTTAGGAGGGGACCGGATGCTGGGCACACAGCGCACAGGCAGCCAGCGACAGCTGAGTGACAGGCCTGGTGCTTGGGTTCTGCCCCACCCCTGCCCCGAGAGGTCAGGAGCTTCCCCAGGGTCCCATGGCAGGAGGTTCCTGCATGCGGGGATGTAAGGAGAAGCCAGATGAAAACAGAAGGCACCCAAGGCAGGACGAGGTCCCCCCAGCAGCCACGGCGGGTCCCTGAGGCAGAAGCACCCCCACACCAGAGGCCTTAATCCCAGCTGCATCACCCATGAAAACAGGCAAATGGGTGGAGTTCCAGCAGCCAGGCAGGCAGGAGGGAGCCGCATCCCGCCCAGCTCACCCATGGGCACGAGTCTGAAGCCAGCAGGGCTGGTGTCTGGAGTGGCACTCGGGGGCTGGCGGGGGACAGACAGGCTCAGGGGTTGTAGCACAGATGTGGCGGCACGGTAGGCTGAGGGGCTAAGCACGGACGGGACTCCCCATCCTGGGCCTCAGGGAGTGATGTGAGCAGGGCAGTCCAGCTCGGAGGGTTCACTGCAGGACCGTGGGAAGCTGAGTCCATCAGGCGGTCGGAGTGCCAAAGGCGGCAACCCCTTCTCCCACTGCTCCCCCACCACACCCGGAGCCTTCCTGGGGTCATGCGGCCGGGAGGCACCCTGGACCCCAGGCCAGGACCCTGGTGGGCATGGCAGGCAGCAAGAGGGTGAGTGAGAGCGAGGCTGACGGGGTCTAGGCAGGCCCTGTCAGTGTCACTGTGTCCCTCGCGTCTGCTGTGTCCCCCCCTGCTGTCACCAGCATCCCCCGCTTCCCCCAGGTCCCCCATGTCCCCGCGTCCTGCAGGAGCACATGCCATTGGGATGCATGGCACAAAGGTGTGACAGGCACGGTGCGGCTCTTTAGCAAGGCCTGGTGGAATAGCTCTAAGTACCGCTGCCTCACCCCATCGTGTGGACACTCAGTCACCTCTCTGGAATTGCTGTTTTTCTGCAAATGTGAAATGATTTCCTGTACCTGGAAACTGATGTTATCCATCGTGTTTTAGCAACTCAAGACAACGACACACAGCTAAAAACATACAATAGTACAACTGAGCCTATATTGTATCTAAACACCTTACATGTGCCGACTTTTGTTCTAGAACTCATGCGTGATGTTCTCCATAAGAAATGGCTTGATAATGTCTTAGAACAGATGCCAGTCATGGAGGCACTGTTCACTGTGCAGCCGCAACGGAAGGATGGGTCACCTTGGCTGTCCACCGCGGGCAGCAGCAAGCACACGGGGCATCTTCTCACGGGAGACAAGTGCTGTGAGCCCCTGGAGGAAAGTGGTTTGAAACTTCTACCTAATCTTGGCATTTTATTTAAGGAAAAATTAAAAGATTTTAAAAAAAAGTTTCTTGTGAAGGCTTTTGGTTCCGAGAAAGGCTGAGCCACCCTGAACCCTCTCACTGCTGTTTAACAAAAGGACAAAAACAATTGAATCAGTATTAGGTGACGGTAGCTAGCGAATGAATGACAGCAAGATTTAATAAAAAAATCTATGATATATGCTCTTATACATTTCTTCCATTTACAAACTCTCCTTTTAATTTTGTATTCTTGATTTTTAAAGATTTATTTATTTTTATTGGAAAGGCAGATATACAGACAGGAGGAAAGACAGAGGAAGATCTTCCATCCGATGGCTCACCCCCCAAGGGGCCGCAACGGCTGGAGCTGAGCCAATCCGAAGCCAGGAGCCAGGAGCCTCCTCCAAGGTCTCCCTCTGCTGTCCTCCGTGTCCCCCCAAGTCCCATGTACCCCTGTGCTGTCCCCCCTGCACCCCCCATGTCCCTCTCTGCTGTCCCCTGCAGCCCCTGTGTTTTCCTCTGCTGTTCTCTGTGTCCCCCGTGTCCCCCATGCTTTCCTCCGTATCCCCCGTGTCCCCCTGTGCTGTCCCAGCGTGTCTCCTGTTCTGTCCCCCCCCGTGCCCCCTGTGCTGTCCCACTGTGCACCCTGTGCTGTCCCACTGTGCCCCCTGTGCTGTCCCACTGTGCTGTCCCCTGCGTCCTCTTCGCCGCCCTGCACAGCCGGACCCTGCCACCAGAGGGCGCCCGCGCTGGCCTCACTGCGCCTGCGCCGACGCCGGCATGCGCCCGAGCATCGCTCGGCCCGCCACTGCGCCTGCGCCGCGCCCGCCGGGGCCCGGGGCTCGGCGGCCATGGGGGAGGCCGAGGTGGGCGGCGGCGGCGCCCCGGGCGACAAGGGCCCCGGGGAGGCGGCCACGAGCCCGGCGGAGGAGACGGTGGTGTGGAGCCCCGAGGTGGAAGTGTGCCTCTTCCACGCCATGCTGGGCCACAAGCCCGTGGGTGAGCGCGGGCTGCGCGTGGGGGCGGGGCGGCAACCGTCGGGGGGCGGGGCCTGTGGCGGGACCCCCAGCGACCCCCGCCCCGTGCGCTGCACCCGCCCGCGACCCCCACCCCGAGCGCTGCACCCGCCCGGCCTGCCCACCCGCGACCCCCCAACCCCCGTCCCCCTGCCCTGCACCCGCCCGGCCTGCCCACCCGCGACCCCCCAACCCCCGTCCCCCTGCCCTGCACCCGCCCGGCCTGCCCACCCGCGCCCCCCCAACCCCCGTCCCCCTGCCCTGCACCCGCCCGGCCTGCCCACCCGCGACCCCCCAACCCCCGTCCCCCTGCCCTGCACCCGCCCGGCCTGCCCACCCGCAACATCCACCCCGAGCGCTGCACCCGCCCGGCCTGCCCACCCGCGACCCCCGCCCAGCCTGCCCTGCCTTCTGGGGGAGGCCATGACCCTTTTCTCCACTCTTCCTTACCCCACACCTTGACTCTGTGCCTTGCCCACCTGCCCAGGTGTGAACAGACACTTCCACATGATTTGTATCCGAGACAAATTCAGCCAGAACATCGGACGGCAGGTGCCCTCCAAGGTCATCTGGGACCACTTGGGCACCATGTACGACATGCAGGCGCTGGTGAGCTGAACCCCCGAGCCCTGGGTCCCAGGGTGCAGGTCCTGGGGTACAGGACCCCAGGGTGGAGACTCTGGGTGTGGGGTCCCAGCGTACAGGACCCCAGCATGCATGTGTGGGGTACTGGGTCCTGGGCACCTTGGCCTTGTCTGACGGGGAGGAAGAGGCAGCTGTGATTCCTGGCCCCCAGGGGCCCCTTTTCCTTAAGAGAACAACCCGCTATTGGAGAGGGAGGAGGGGGGGCTTTTCCATCTGCCTGTGCCTGGGCCAGGTGGAAGCCAGGCGCTGCATCCCAGGAATCCCGGCCATTAACAGGGGCTGCGTGAAGGTAGGGGGCTTCATCAGGCCTTGTGGGTGCTTAGCTAGGCCCTTGCAGCCCCCTTAGCCTGTCTGGTGGACTCCACCCACCAGCATAGCCCCCAGCCATTTAAGGTTTATTTATTTAAATTGATACATCATTGGGGCCTGGGATGGTAGCCTGGCGGCTAAAGTCCTCACCTTGCACATGCAGGGATCCCATATGGGCACCAGTTCTAATCCTGGCAGCCCCACTTCCCATCTAGCTCCCTGCCTGTGGCCTGGGAAAGCAGTCGAGGACGGCCCAAAGCCTTGGGACCCGGCACATGGGAGACCTGGAAGAAGCTCTGGGCTCCTGGCTTCAGATCGGTTCAGCTCCTGCTCTTGTGGTCACTTGGGAAGTGAATCATAGGACGGGAGATTTTCCTGTCTGTCTCTCCTCCTCTCTGTATGTCTGACTTTCCAATAAAAATAAATATATCAGTAAAAATAAAATATAGATATGTCAAAAAAAGTTACTTAATTTGAAAGGGTTACAGAGCAAGGGAGAGAGAGAGCTTGGTTGGTTCACTCCCCAAATACCTGCAGCGCCCGGGGCTGGGCCAGGCCAAAGCAGGACCTTGGACCTTCCTCCGCTGCCTTTCCCAGGCTGTGGGCTGGGAGCTGGATGGGAAGTGGAGCCATGGGGACTAGAACCGGTGACCCCCTGGGATGCCGGCTGCAGACGGGGGCTTAGCCCACAGCCCCACCCTGGGGACTTGCTGACGTCCGGTTTCTGCCTTGCCGGGGTTGGTGTCAGCACGAGTCCGAGATCCTGCCGTTCCCGAACCCAGAGAGGAACTTCGTGCTCCCAGAGGAGTTCATCCAGGAGGTCCGGGAAGGTGAGGGGCGTGCCTGGCTCAGGGCGCAGGGAGGCGGGCGGCGGGTGGGCCCGATGCATGTTCCTGTCCCCCTCCCCCAGGAAAGGTGATCCTGGAAGAGGAGACGAAGGAGGAGATGAAGGAAGACCTTGATCCCCACAGCGGGGTTGACGATGGTGAGTGGGGGGGCACGCCGCCTAGCAGCCCCTCACCATCCTGTCCCGGGTTGGGCTGGAGCCAGGGGAGCGGGGTGCACGGGGTGGGGAGAGTGAGCCTGGGCGGGTGGTGGCCCCGGGTGGATGGTGGCAGGTGCCGGATGTTCTCAGCTAAGCAACACGTTTGTCAGTTTTCTCGTCGGGGAGCTTGGGCAAAGCAGCGGAGAAGTCCAGCAAGGACAAGGGCTCCGAGCTGGGCTGCAAAGACGCGGCGGACAGACGCAAGCGTGGCCGTGTCACCGACAAGGCGCTGACGGCCAACAGCAACCCCTCCAGCCCCAGTGCCGCCAAGCGGCGCCGCACATAGCCCCAGAGTGCCACAGCCTCAGCGCGTGGTCGGCTGGGCCCAGCACTGCGGGGCTGCGTGCCTGTGGCCAACAGCGAGACGCTTCAGGAGGCCGCGCCGTGGCCGTAGACCCGCGGACCCTGGAGGGCGCAGGGGCTGGGTCTGTCTGCTCTGAAGAGAGCCAGTGGTCCCTGTGCCACCACATCCGGGCCCTCGGGGGCCCACAGGCCGGGAGACACTTGGCCCGGAACCACCTTGTGCTAGCAGCAGCCCCGTACCTGCGGCGCCCACCGCAGCCAAGCCCCTTGGCTCCCCGGCAGTCCTGGCAGCACGGGCCTTGGCGTGCACCTGCGGAAGCGGCCGCAGCGGGCGCCTAGAGGGCGAGTCGGGCTGCCGTTTCACTCTTTAGTTTTTCAGGAACCTGTTTTGCTAAGGTTTTATATGAGAAAAATACTGCGGACGTTAACCGAACGTTAACCCCGCGTCGTATTTTCCAGAAGTTTGGCTTTGGTAGCCACTGAGGCGCCTGTTGCCGTTTTTGTAGCCACACCGAGGATTTGTAGCGGGTATTTTTGTATCATCTAGTAGCTGGGGCTGAGGATGAGGAGGGAGGCACTGTGTGCCCACATTAAAGCACAGAATGAGCCAGCTGTGTGGTTCCTGCTTGTGCCTCTTCTGACCCAGGAGTCTTCCCAGAGGGGATGCACCTGCAGGCCCATCTGCCCTGGCTACACTGTCCCTACAACTGGTTATTCTGTTTCCTGTGACAGCCCTAGGGGAGCAACAGGTCTGGAGGACCTGGCCCGGGCACTGCCCCAGTCCCCTCTGCTCATGGGGACCCTCTGGCACCTCCCCTCACATGGGGGGAGGCTGAGGGCCACGCTGGCCCCGCTGGCCCTGGGCAGTGGCTGGTCCTGCCCCCAGCCCTGCAAGCCCCAAGTGCCCAGAGCTGCCCAGGGCCAGCTGGAGAGAAAGGGACTCGGGTTATCATGGCATCTGGGAGCTGCCATGGGGGTGTTGCCCCCTGAGTCCCCTCTCCAAGGGCCGGGACCAGGGCATCCCTCTCAGTGACCTCAGAGCCGGTGGAAGGAACCTAGGGGTACATTGGGTTTGCCTCGCCTGGTTGGTTTGACATCTGCTCCTCAGGTGGGGTGTGTGGGTGGCTGTCCTACACAGCGGGCACAGGCAAAGGGTGGGGGCGGCTGTGGCCCTGGAGGGACAGGTGCTGGGCAGAGCTGATGGGCTGATGGGAAGTCGGAGTTGTGCAGAGGGTGGGGCCGTGGCTGGGCAGCTGCAGCTGTCACACGCGGGGTACTAGATCGCTATGGGTCTCAACCTGCTGCCCTGGCACCAAGCCTGGACACTTCCTGACCCGGTGGGGAAGGAGTGGTCCCTACAGCACGGTTATGGCGGGTGGGGCCTGTGCAAGGCCAGCCCCTTAGTGCCCTGGTGAGGCTGCACCCCATGTGGCGAGCGGCGCTCCAGGCACCCCACTTCACGGCTCTGAGCCAGGCCCAGCACCCCTAGGGGTTCCCGCTGCCGTGGCCACAAGGAACAGGCCATTATCGCGGTCAGGAGTCCTGAAAGCTCCCACTGCCCTGAGGTGGGCCTGGGCCTGCTGGTGCCCCGGAACTTCACTTCGCGGGGACCACCCCCGGGCTGGGCATATGTAACATCCCCTCCCCTGTCACCTCAAACCCCCGCCGGGCGCCGGCACCCCGGCAGTGCGAGCCGGGACCAGGCGGGAGCATGCGCCCCGCGCCCCGTGCACCCCGCGCTCGCTGCGCCCCTCTGCCGGCCTCGCCCCGGGAGGGGTCCCCGCCCCTCGGAGGGACGTCCCCGGGGCCGGGCCCGCCCCCCGCCCCGCCCCCGCGCTTCCTCCTCTTTCGCTTTCGCTTCCGCCCGAGCGGTCCTTCCCGCCGCCGACCATGGACGACCCGGACTGCGACTCCACCTGGGAAGATGATGCGGAGGACGCGGAGGACGAGGACGCGGGGCACGAGGATGCGGAGGAGCCGCTGCCCGGCGCGCTCCAGGTGCGGCCCGGAGAGGGGCGAGGCCCCCGGGGACCCCACGGAGCCCCGGGCTGCGGCCGTCCCGGGGCCGGGTGCGTGTGACGTCCGCGCGGGGTGATGCGGGGGCCGCGGGCGGCCGGGGTGCTGTGCCAGTGGCGTCAGAGCGCGCGTCCCCAGGCCTCGGGCCGAAGCGAGGCTGACCCCGGCCGGCTGCGGTCCCGCGTTTCCTCGCTCCCGCCCGACGGGAGGACCTGGGGAACCCCATCTGGGGGAACTCGTGGGCGGCGGGGACGCTGGCGAGGCGGCCGCTGCACCTGTCACCGCTCCAGGGACTGGAAGTGTGGCGGCGCCTCTGTCCACACCGGCCTGGGACGAGGACTGGGCAGCTGACCCAGGCAGAGGACAGGGGACATCGCGCAGGCGCCAGGGGCTGCCTCTCCCGCAGCTGCAACCAGGCAGCTCCCCTCACCACTTCCCATAAATTCTCCCTGCGTTCTGGGGGCTTGGCTGCCCTGGAAGGGGCCAGGGCGCTGAGGGCTGTGGTGCCAGTCAGGCTGGAGGTGGGCAACGTGGGCTGGGGACAGGTGGGGTGCCCTGTGGGTGGGACACGGCCAGTATGGGTGGGTGTCCTCCGGGTGGGACACGGCTGGTGACAGGTGGGGCGAGTTGCAGGTTGGGTGAGAGGTAGCACGCAGGGCCCAGGTCATGGTAGGGCTCGGGAAAGGAGGTCACTGGGGCCATACCCGTGGGGCGGGGTCAGTCACAGGCCACTGGAGCCCTTCACCTCCCATTCAGCCAAGGTCCAGTGCTCTGTCCTGAGGTCCCCCAGGGAGTTAGCGCTGTGTACCCCCGAGATGAGATAGCGCTCATCCCCTCTACTTCTCCCAGTCCAGGACACCTGGCTCCCGCAACTGGCGAGCCATGCAGGACCTGCGCAGGTACCGGCATCATTACCCGGTAGGCACCACCCCGTGGCCCTTCCACACGCCCCCGTGGTCCTGGGCTGGTCTGGTGAGCACCCGCAATACAGCCACTGCCTGCCCCCTGGGCTTGGGTTTCTCCATCCCTGCCTCTGCAGCTCCCCCCTTTCCCCTCTGGGCCACAGAGGCAGGGCCACCAGGCAGCCCTGAGCCCGTGGCGCGAGCCCAGGCCGGGCTCTGGGGGTGATGACCCCACGGCTCTGCTGAGACCCCCCCACCCCAGCTGCCCACCCACACCCTTTCTCTCATCTAGGATTTGGTGGAACAAGACTGCAACAATGAGGACATGCCCAATCTGAGCTTCTACAAGAATGAGATCTGCTTCCTGCCCAACGGTACCCACGCCTGCCCCCGCCCCACGCCTGCCCCCGCCCCACGCCTGCCCCCACCCCACGCCTGCCCCCGCCCCGGGTGCCCTGGCCCCACTTGAGGCCCTTCTGTTGCAAATAGCTCCATAGTGCCCCCTGCAGGCGACCAGGGGCACTCCGGGGCCAGGATGGTCATGGCTCAGGCCCATGGCCACTACCCAGTGAGGGCCACACGGACTAAGGGGAGACGGGCGCCTCAAGCGTCTCGCGAAATCAGAATTCCTATGCCCGTGATGGGGGGACTGTGGTTGGTAGAGACCCCCAAGTGCCCCAAGCCAGTTTGCCCTCAGCAGGGAGTGCCCGGGCTCCATGCCCATCACAGGAGCAGGGTCCCGGGGAGGTTGGGCTGGGAGCAGCCGGGGGTGGCTGTGCTGACCTGTGCCTGACCCCAGGCTGCCTCATCGAGGAGTTGCTTGAGCAGCGGCAGAGCCACTACACCTGGCTGGAAGACAACCACTCCTACATCCAGTGGTGAGCCAACCGGGGGCTGGGGGTCAGCTCCGGGGGAAGAGGGCCTCCGTGGCGGGGACAGGGCCTCACCTGGGCTGCCTGTGCCAGCCAGTGCATCTGGCATTTAGCCAGTGCTGGGGCAAGGACAAGGAGGAAGGAGGTGGGAGAGGCCCGCCCCAGCTGGCACAATGGAGCCAGGCGGCACAGTGGGGCCTGCTGGCCATGTGCCCCCTCTACCCCACAGGCTGTTTCCTTTGCGGGAGCCCGGGGTGAACTGGCACGCCAAGCCCCTCACGCTGCGGGAGGTGGAGGTGAGTTGCCAGGGTGGTGGGGTGGGACAGGCTGGGGGTGCCTGTCACCCTGAGGCCCCCAAGAGATGCCTGGGCCCGGGGTGGTGGCTCAGGGCAGACACTTTCCAGGCCTTTAAAAGCTGCCCAGAAGTGAAGGAGCGGCTGGTGCGCGCCTACGAGCTCATGCTGGACTTCTATGGGATCCAGCTGCAGGACCGGGCCACAGGTGCTGTGTGCCGTGCACAGCACTACCAGAAACGCTTCCAGAACCTCAACTGGTGAGTGTGGGGGCCGACCCCGGGGCGGCTGGTCCTTCTGGGATGTGGCAGCTTCTGGGCCAGCTTCTGCAGCGGTCACGGTCCCAGCCCCAGCCTGCTTTCCCGGGTGAGGAATGACTATTCCCTGGGCTGGGCAGAGCGAGGTGGCAGAAGGCCCTGCCCGCTCATGGTGCTCCCCGCCCCGCAGGCGCAGCCACAACAACCTCCGCATCACGCGCATCCTCAAGTCGCTGGGCGAGCTGGGCCTGGAGCACTACCAGGGACCGCTGGTGCGCTTCTTCCTGGAGGAGACGCTGGTGCGGCACGAGCTGCCTGCCGTCCGCCAGAGCGCCCTGGACTACTTCGTGTTTGCTGTGCGCTGCCCACGCCAGCGCCGCCAGCTCCTGCGCTTTGCCTGGGAGCACTTCCGGCCGCGTAACCAGTTTGTCTGGGGGCCCCCAGAGAAGCTGCGCAGGTGCCGGCCCCCCGCCAACGCCCTACATGAAGCTGGCACCCAGGGTCAACCCGAACGGCCAGAGCCGAACAGAGATGGGGACAGGGAGCCCCCCAGTCCCCAGGAGGACGAGGCCGAGGAGGGGGACAGTGGGCAGGACAAGACAGGCCTGGGAGAAGAGGCCAGGACAAGCGGGGAGGAACAGCTGGAGCCCCCCAGCCCCAAGGAGAGCAAAAAGAGGAAGCTGGAGGCGAGCCGGCAGGAGCAGACCCCTGAGCAGCCGGGCGGCCAGAGCACCTGTGAGGTGGAAGCCATTGTCCTCAACCTGGAAGGCTGTGCCCTGAGCCAGGGTGGCCAGGACCCCGCTGAGGCCGGGCAGCCCTGCTCCCCACCCCCGGGAGCCAGGCTGCCAGAGGCCAGGAAGCGAAGGAAAGTTGACCAGCCCGGGTGCCTGGAGGCTGCAGAGGGCAGAGATGAGGAGGATGGGGCTGGCTCCGTGGGGTTGCAGCAGGGAGCCCCTGGGAACCCCGCAATGGAGAATGGGGCTGTGGCAGACGAGGCAGAGACTGAGTCTGCCAAACCCGGGAAGCTTTAGGGACCAGGGTGGTGTGGCCTCGGGTATTGTCAGGCCTGCTGCAGGAAGAGGTAGGACGGCAGCAGGGGCCTGCGCCCCTTGGTGTCCCCCAGTACACTGGCCTCTCCCAGCGGTCACTGGCTGCGGGATGGAGGCCCCACCCTCAGGGAAGGCCAAGACCTCAGGCCGCAGCTTACCTCAACCCCCCATCTTTGAGCATAGACCCCCAGGGCTCTGAGGGCAGGGGTGAGCCTATTTTCTTACTCTGGTGCAGGGGGGAGGGCAGAAGGCCTTTTCTGAATAAACTCCTTTGTCTTTGAAGCTCATGGCTGCTCTGCTCCGCCCTCAACTGGCCCAGACAAGCACCCCTGGCAGGACCAAACCCTGACTAGACCTGGGCCTTTAGACACGGGGAGGTGGAGCAGGTGGGTTGGTGCTGCCTGCAGGGCCAGGCCCTTTCCTTTGGCTCATGTGCCTGCTGAGCTAGCTGCTGTCCCTGCTGGGCTAGAAGGCGAGCTGGGAGACAAGGACAGGGCAGAGTGGATCCAGGACGCCGGTCACTTAAGCAGGGGCTATCGGGTTCGGGATGTTTGGTCCAGGTTGCCTTGGGGAGCAGAGACCCTGAGTGCAGGAGGTGTCCTGCCACCCCCTCCCCCCACCTGGGGCTGGCCCCAGGCAGGCAGGAGTGGGGCAAGGAGGGGGGGTGTCAGCAGGGTGTCGTGGGCACCAGTCCAGTCCCCGCCCACCTGGGGGAAGGCCAGCAGCAGGCAGTGCAGCTGGACGCTAGGGGGGGCCTGACCCAGCCTCACCTGCCAGCATCCCAGATCTTGTCTGCGCTGCCTCCTGGACCCCAATTTCTTTGAGACCTGTTCCTGCACCTGCTAACATGGCTTCCTCACTTGGGCACCTCCCAACACCGTCACGACTGCTGCAGTGGATGGGGGGGTGCACATCTGGGTGCAGGTGGTGGTTGCTGGAATCCTATGACCTGGGGGATGTGAGCGCGCCCCCAGGCCTCCAGCAGGGCCACCTGGCCCTCCCCACTGGTGTCGCATTTTCACTTCTGAGTGCTGACGTGGCCAAGCACCGGTTGTGGGCAGATCTCAGGGTCCGTACTGGGCGCTACCCGCCTGGTACTCGTGGGCTGGGGGCGTGGCGCCGCAGCGCTTCCCACAGGGTCCCTGTCGGCCCCCGCCACTGGGGGCGCGCGACAAAGGGTGTCTTTCTTCCCCCCACCGCGCCAGGCCCGGGTAATTTTAACTCTGGCGCCGGCCTGGGGACGCCGCAGCCCGGGTCCCCTCCGCCCAGGTGGGCCCGGCTGAATGGGGGTCTTGTGCACGCCGCCCCCGCCCCCGGCCCGCCCCGGGCCCGCCCCCGGCTGTCGCCTCGACGCCGCCGCCATCGCCGGGCGCTCAGAGCGCAGAGTGCAGCCATGGCCCGCGCGCCCGCCCTGCTCCTGCTGCTGCTCGGACAGCTCCTGGCGGCCGGCGCGGCCCAGGTGAGCAGCCCAGATGCCCCAGGCAGGGGCCCAGCCGCCCGCCCGTCCTCGCCGGCCCGGGGTCAGCCGCGGCTCGCGGACAATGCAGCCTTTGTCCCCGGAGACTCCCCGCGGGGTCTGGCGCGGCAGAGACCCCAGGCTTTGGCGGTGCTCGCAGGAGGGCGTGTGGGTCCCTGCCGAGGCCCCTCAGAGCTAGCTGCTGGGACCAGGCCGGCCCCTCTGGGGAGCTCTCTTCTGATTTTCTCCGTTTCAGAAAGCCGGACCGAGAGGCCCCCCTGGCCCGCAGGGCCCCCCTGGGAAGCCTGGCAAGGACGGCGTGGATGTGAGTGGGGTTGGGATCCTGGGTCCCAGCTCCATCTTGCCTCCCCTGTGAGGGCCAAAACCCACCGAGGCACTGGGCGGACGCTGCCGGAACCCATGCCCTGGGCCCCCGCTGTGCCCTGCTGTGCTCTGGGGCGGGGGGGGGGGGGCGGGATGGAGAAGGGGGTCTGAGATGCCCGCCGGTGCCCCAAGGACTTCCCTCTGCCCCTCCAGCCTGGCTTTCCCTGACCTGAAACTTGGTCTTGGAGTGGGTGGGAGGATTTCAACCCTAACACAGGGGGCAGGGGTGGGGGCTTCCAGCAGAGGCTGGCGGGAGTCTGGAGCCCCTAGGCGTTGCTGTGTGGGGCACAGCTGGCCCACCCTGCTCTGGTCCAGGGATGGGCTGTCCAGGGCTCACGGTGCACATCTTCCACTCTGCAGGGGGAAGCTGGTCCTGCGGGCCTGCCCGGACCCCCGGTGAGTGTCCCTGGCCGGCTGGGGATCCAGAGAACAGAGGGTCATTGAGCCCTGGGCGGGGGGGTGGGCATTTCCGGGCAGGGTCTGGCCAGAAGCTTGCTTTGGGCCAGTGCCCAGGCAGGGCCCTGTGGGGAGGCAGGGCTGCTTGGGCAGTGACCTCAGTTTGATGGGGGGAGGGCAGGGCATGCCCCCCAACCTCACACAGCCTTTCTCTCCCCACGCAGGGACCAAAGGGGGCCCCTGGGAAGCCAGGGGCGCCTGGAGAGGCTGGACTGCCCGGACTGCCAGGCGTGGATGTGAGTGCACGGCTCCCCTCTGCCCACTCTGGTGGGCATCTCGGATCCCCTGAAGCCCACATCCCAGGCCTACTAGTGCTGGCCAAAGTCCCCCCACCTTACTGGCTTGCTGCGCCACCGCCCACCGTTGGCCCTCCCAGCCCCAGGTCCAGCAGCCTGGCCTCCAGTGGACTTGGCACCTGTCCATGGCATCCCTGGGCATTTGCAGGGCATGCGACATGTGACACAGCCAGTTGGTGAGGGCCTGCCTTGGCAAGTGCTCCAGTTACTGCCCGGCCTCCCCCAGAGTACGGGCGTCAGGACCGGCTGCTTCCCCAGGCTCCATATTGCTCTGTCTGCTCCTGCGGCTTCTGGAGCCCCCTCTCTCCCTCCCTTCCCAGGGTCTGACTGGGCAGGATGGACCCCCTGGACCAAAGGGTGCTCCTGGAGAACGCGTAAGTGTTGCCCTGTGTGTCACCTGCAAGGGCCTAGCCAGGGTGGTCAGCAGGACACCTGTGACCACATGAAGCCAGCAGTGGCAAGGCTGGAGGGGCCAAGCTCCTACAGTGGAGGTGCGGGTGGTGGGCATGGTCCACATGCAGGCATTCAGGCAGGGTGGGGATGGTGGCGCAGCACTGGCCACTCGGCCTGCCCCACCTTCCTGTACCCTCTCCTAGCCTGGGTGTGAGGCAGCTCAGCGCCTGGCTGGCCAGCATGGACACCACCATGGCTCCCGTCCTTGGTCCAGCAGCAGGCACGGGCACATGGGGGCAGCTCAGATGGGCCAGCTGCACTCCCCACAGGTGTCCTCCTCTGACTGGTTTGGGGCCGTGGGCAGAGAGCGCTGGCAACCATCTTAGGCCTTGGTCCCAGCACCCCTTCCCCCACCTGCAAGGTGAGGCCAGTGCCCAGCATTCACACCGCTTTTCCTCCCACAGGGGAGCCTGGGACCCCCGGGGCCACCCGGGCTGGGGGTGAGTGCACCCTCCTCCTTGTGGGGGGAGGGCTCTGACCAGATGGGGGTGGCCACTAGCTGCCCCCCCCCACCTCTCCCTGGGCGGGTTCCAGGGCCCCCGTGCAGCTTGTTGGGGATGGCTGGGTTGGCTCTGTGCTGGGTTTTGACCCTGCCATGTGGCTTTGCAGGGCAAAGGGCTCCCAGGACCACCGGTAAGTACAGACCCCAAGCCAGCCTGGACGTGGACAGGGTGCTTCCTGGGGTGCTGACAGCTGTTGGTTTATCACCCACTTCTTTTCCTCAGGGAGAGGCAGGCGTGAGTGGCTTGCCTGGAGGGAGTGGCCTACGTGGCCCCCCAGTGAGTAACAACTGCCCCCGCCCCTCCCCCAGCCCGAATGTGGGCAGTGGCTGGGATCAGGCAGCCAGGGGCTGCTCTGAGCTCTGCCCCTGCCCTGCAGGGACCCTCTGGATTGCCAGGCCTCCCTGGCCCCCCTGGCCCCCCTGGCCCCCCGGTAAGTACTGGGTGGGGCTGGAAAGTGCTAGTCACTGGCCTGGACCCTGTTTCCCAGAGCAGGGCAGAGCAGGGCATGGGGCACGGGGCCAGGTCTGCAGCCTGGCTGGGTGGGCAGGGCAGAGGGGTTTGGGCACATGTGATGCCAACATTGAGGACTGGTTTGTCTGTCACACTCCCAGTGCTAGGAGATATCAGTGATTTTTTTTCCAGGGACACCCAGGGGTCCTCCCTGAAGGTGCAACGGACCTGCAGGTGGGTGCTTGTGCCTGTGCAGGGGGCTGGGCCTGCTGCTTCCAGGACCCTCTGTGATACAGCCCTGCCCAGTGTCGCCCAGGCCTGCCCAGAGCCACCACACACCTGTCCTCGCCCCTCCCCACCCCTCCTCTCCTGAGCAGCACACACGGCGACTTGCCAGCAGGTGTCTGGGACACACTCGGGTCCCCATCCCTGTGTCCGCTTTTGCTGCCATGCATGGGCTCCTATTTCAAGGAGAAAGCCTTCCCCATGGGGCTTAGCCACGGGTAGCCTGCCAGCAGCCTACCCACCCTGGTCCTTGTGAAGGCTGACTGTGTCCTGGGAGGGCTAACCCTGCACAGCTGTGGAATGATCTAGAGAGCACCAAGCCTTCCGTGGGTTTGGGGACAGGGGACTGGTGGCACAGGCCTAGGGCCCTGGCAGAGGGTGGCTTGGTGGTGCCAAGTGGCTGCTCTGAGCTCCTGGGAGGTTGTGGCTGCCCTGCACTGGGCCAGGACGGGGAGGGGCCTGAGCACACTCTACTTTTGTTACAGTGCCCTTCCATCTGCCCACCAGGCCCTCCCGGGCCACCAGGAATGCCAGGGTTCAAGGTGAGAGACCACAGCCCTCGTGGGCAGGAGCCTGGCCTGGCTCAGGGACCTGTGGGGGTGGGCTGAACGCCAGCGGGGCTGTAGTGAACAGTCCTAGCCGGTTACAGCCAGTGAGTCCATGTCTGCTTTCAGGGTCCTGCTGGCTACAAGGGGGAGCAAGGAGAGACCGGCAAGGATGGTGAGAAGGTAGGCAGGACCCCAGGTCCCAGGTGGGAGTGACCCTGGGGTGCAGCTCTGAGCCTGTGGCAAGGTCAAGGTGCCTCTGAGTAACCCTCACTTGCAGTGGAGTGAAGGGCTGGGGCAGGGCTGGCAGGGAGGTGACCGCAGGCCCTGCTCACTTGCATTGTTTGCCTCCGCAGGGTGACCCTGGGCCTCCTGGGCCTCCTGGGCTCCCGGGCACTGTTGGGCTACAGGTGAGGCTAAGACAAGCTAGCCGGGGACGGAGGTGGGATAT